TGGGGCAGCTGGATCGTCTACCCCAAGAAGTACAACGCCTACCGGTGCGAGGGGCAGTGCCCGTCACCCGTGGACGAGACCTTCAAGCCCACCAACCATGCTTACATACAGGTAAGAGGGTCCCAGTGCCCCCGCTGCCCCCGCTGCCCCGTGCTCCTGCCTGCCCAGCCCGGCGGCACGGGGCATGGAGCTGAGGCCGTGCCCTTCCCGTGTCCCCGCAGAGCTTGCTGCAGCTCTACAAGCCCCACCAGGTGCCGTGCCCTGCCTGCTCGCCCATCAGGATGAGCCCCCTCTCCATGCTCTACTACGAGAAGGGCGAAATCGTCGTCCGCCACCACGAGGACATGGTCATCGAGGAGTGCGGCTGCAACTGAGGAGAGCTCCTCCCGTGCTGGGGAGGGGACAGCAGGGCTGTGTGCCCCCGAGGACTGGCTGCCAGCCACAAGCAGCACACGGATGGGGCATCTCTGAGCCCCCAACACCTCCGAGACCCTCATGGTTTGGGTTTGGGACACGAGAGAGGAGACAGCACCGAGACAGGACTGCGGGAGGTGGATGGTGGCGGGGGGATGACAAGGGAACATCCCCTGGGGTGGCAGCGCTGCGGGGCAGGGACAGACCCAGGCGATGCATGGGGAGGCTGCTGGGCTGGTGCTGCTCCTCTCGTGCTCGTGGAGCATCCCTCCTTGGTGTCGGTGCTGCCCTTGCACACCCCGAGCACTCCCGGTAGCTGGAGGCTCACCCAGGGCCACCTGCAGCACCCACACCCGACCTCGCTCAGCACCTGAACAGCTGAGATTTGCAGCGTCCCCCCCGGGGTGGGCGTTTCTCTTACATTTCCTATTGTATTTCTGTGAAAACTCTATCAGATTTCTATTAAAAGTTTCTACTAAGAGCTCACATGGGTAAGCTGGGTGCCCCTGGATGTAACGCAGCCCTGAGGTCTGTTGGGGTACCTCTGAGCCCCCCCAGCCCTCCTGCCTGCCCTGGAAACCTCAGCTCACGCGCTGCTTTCATCTGCACAGCCTCGTTCAAACCTTTTTAACCCCTCACTGGATGGGGCGGTAGGGAAAGGGCCGTGTTTGTACCGTTCCTCAATAAATTATGTATTTAAGAAATGCCTGCTGCATGCTGCCTGCTTCCACCCCCTTCTTGCTGCTGGGTGGTCTCTCAGGACGTCCCCCCCCAGCCTCCAGCTGGGGTCTGGTGTGAGCAGCTGGGCGGCGAGCACTTGGCAGCCCCCTCCCGATGTGACCAACATGCCACCGGCCTTAAAACAAGGGGCTAAGGTCCCTGAACAGCAGCACCAGCCCACCTGCGGGGTGCCCTGTTGGTACAAATGGACTTTCTGACCCCCCAGGAGTAACGCACCCACGCTGCCCCCCACTCCGGCCACCCTCGGGTGCTCTGGGCCACTCTGCCTGGCTGCCACGAGGAGAGCTGGGCTGCTCGTGCAGCTTCCCATGGGATGTTCGGGGCAGATTGGGACACGGGGGGTGGATTTGGGATCCCCCAGCACTAACACAGCACGCAGAGGGCGCCGGGCTTTGTAGAGCAAAGGGACCCCAAATAGAACATCAGGAAAAGATGTGACCCCGCTCCGGGGACGGTGAGGGTGCCGTTCCCACCCTGATCATGTAGATTTTGGGTTGCTCAAGAGCAACCGGGAAAGCACCTGCGGCCTTTGAAGCGAGGAGAGGGGCTAAGTGGATTTCCACCTTTATTTGCCCCTGGGAGATAAGGGCAGGGCATTCCCTAACAGCACTCATTTGGGGCAGGCAGCTCACTTTTGGGGCACTGCTGCCGGGGATCCCTGCCCGGGCAGTGCTGTGGGGCCGAGCGGGCACCTGGGGCTGAGCCTGGCCCCCCCGTAGGACCCCCCTGCCCCGACTCCACATCCCCGGCCCAGCCTGATGGGCCCCAATCCACATCCCTGGCGGTGGATAAACAAATCTCGTCTGGTTCTCAGCCCCATCGCCTCCCCACCAGCACCTCGCCCCCGCAGCCGTCATTAGAGGGTCATTTGCGGGGGCTGTTAAACGCTGGGAGAGGGCGGCCCTGGTGCTAACCCCTGGCAGGGGGCAGACACCTGGGGAGCGGGGCTCTTTCTGAAATAAAACCCTTTTATTTTTATTTTATTATTTATTTTTTGTGCCTTTTCCCTCACAGGCTAGGAGTTCGCTCTTCAAAATAACCACAGGGAGCACAGCCCAGAGGGCCGCTGCCCTTCTCCCCCCCCCAGCCCCCTGCCCTAGCAGGGACCCCCCAGTCCCCCAGGGGCCATATCTCAAGATCTCGGCCCCTCCATCGTGTGTCTGAAACCCAGCAGCGGGTTCAGAAGCGACCCTGGGGAAGGAAGGGGGGGGGGGGGCACAGCCAGGCCGGGATTGATCCCAGGCTGGACGGGAGACATCAAAGCTACATGTGGGGCGGGCAGGTGTCTGCCCGGGAGCCCTGTGTGTGGAACGGGGCCTGCTCGGGGCCTGCTGGGCCCAATACACATCGGCTGCGGGGCACAGGGACCCCCAGACGGGGTCGGTGGTGCTGGGGGGGCAGCTCCAGGCCCTGCCTGCTATGAGGTCCTGTGGGGCCAGGCTGGGGCTTGGGGGACGTGAGCCCTTCAGCACCCCAAGGCCTTGGGATGGGAGGGAGGGCAGGGACCGTCTGTGGGCACATGCCCTGGGGAGCCTCGGGGCTGGGCAAGGCACGGCCACCATGTGCCCGTGGGTCAGTGCCCGCGTCCCTGGGAGCCGCACGTGCTCCAGAAGGCGAAGATAAGCGTGGTTTGCTTTGGCTGCGTGAGGAAAGAGCGCGTGAGAGCAAACAGAGCAAGGGCTTATCGGGCACGGTAACAGCCCTTCAGCTGGCTGAGCGAGGCACAGCTCGGGGCAGAAGGCATTGCTCCAACCACCAGGACACGGACTGGTCGGAGAGGCCCTCTGGGAGCTCTGCTCTGCCTTGCCCCAGACAAAATGGGGTGGGAAACGCCGTGACAAAGCCAACACTTGTCCCCCCCAGACCTCCCCGGAGCACCCCAGCTGTGCAAGGCCACCACCCACGGCTGCTTGGCCCCCCGCTGGGTGCACAACTGCACCCACACAGCTGCCGGCCCCGGGACAAAGGCGGCTCCGAGCGCAAGGTGTGGGGCGAGGACCAAATGCCCGCACGGCAGGGACCTGCCCCGGCAGCCCGAGCTGCTCTTTCGCACGGCTTCGGCGAGCCTGGAGTCCTGCAAACTCAGCGCAGGCAGGAGACGGAGCCAAAAAACCCGGCTGAGGGATGTGGCATTGGTCAAGGGTGGGATAAAAGGAGGAAAACTGCAAAGGGAGCAGGGGTGGCTGTGGCTGCATGGTCCCACAGCCCCAGCAAGGTCAAGGCCTGGGCTCAGGCTGGATTGCATCAGCGCAGAGCACCCCAGGGTCACGTATCTGCCACGGGCTCACAGCTTCTCCAGGTGAAGGCATTGATGTGCCCATGGCCCCAGGGCGCTCCTTCTGCAAACCCCGCAGGAATCCTGACCTGGATGGACCCCGTTTGACACCTGGCCAGGTGCTGCAGGTCGCAGCCAGGGCTTTGATGCCCCCCCCGGCCCTACATATGCACGCAGATAGCGATGCACCACGGCTGCCACAGGCATGGACAAAACACTTGGCACTTAAAATAATCCACGACCCTCTGGGCAAGGGGGGTGGGATGGAATTTAAGGGCATTGCTTGCAATAGCCGACACTTGCTCAAAAAAAACCAAAAACCACAGAGTTGCTTTTGTGCTGACAAAAAGCTGACATCACACGGCTCTCACTTTGGGGATGCTGCAGGCCAGCAGCTCAGATCCCAGCAGTTTTAGAACAGCCCCAGCCCCAAATCCCACCCCGGGGAGCACACCATGGCTCACGCATGGGTTAGTTTGGTTAGGAGAGAACATGAAAACTCACTTCAGCACGGAGTGCATGAATTTAATTATTGCAACTACCACTCCAAAAGCCTGTCATGGCTTTTCTGGTCTACCCCCAAAATAATCAGCTTCAGAAATTAACCTAACAGGGTAAGGGCTCTCAGAAACAAGGCTCCTGCTTCCTCCCCCAGACAGCACAGCTGCAGAGCGCTCTGATTTTGCAGTGACCAGAAAAAGCAGGATGGCTCCGAGCACACCGAATCTGCAACCACTGTGCAGGCTGTCAGCAGCCGAGCAGTTCAGTGGTGCTATTTCTGAAAATATTTAGCTGGAGAGGGGTCGGTGCCAGCTGCAGCTCACAGCGCATGCTCCGGCAGCGATAGCAACTGAATGCATGCAGCAGAACTCGGCACTTGGTACGGAGCTGCAAGACTGATAAGGGGGCACTGGGAGGCAGCTTCGATCTGTTCCCATTACGGGTTCAGAGAAACACTTCACCTTATCGTTAAAAATGCAAGCTTTATCAGCAGCAATTGCTTTGACTCTTTCTTCTGTTAGCCATTATTAAAGGCTTGCATATCATAATGTCACAATTGGGCTTAATTAGCGGGTATTTAAGCATTATCTACTAAGACAAACTCGAACAGACACTTATTGTCTGTTAGGAAGCCCTGAGTTCAGGCCACATCCTAATACGCTTTCTTTTCCTTTGAGGCACCTCCACAGCCATGGGCAGGACCAGGCACCACCAGCACCACCTCTAAAGCAGCACCAGCAGTGTGTTAGGGACTGCCACGCAATGCACACTTATTAGAAAAAAGGGCTTGTGGACACCTGCACCGTGACCTAGCACGAGAACCATCTGAAAGCAGGTGGCAAACAGCCTGGGTTAACTATTTCTGGAAGCAGACTTCCTGCCGTGTTGTACCAGGTGTTGCACGTGGTGCACACAGATGTTTTCAGAGTGCTGAAGGCAGCTCAGCTTTCATCTTTGGGTGAAACCCAAAAGCACGGTGCTGATCTCGACCCTGCACATGAAACTGCCCCACCAGCTCTGAAACAGGCTGGTGGTTCCCTTGCTGGAACAAATAAAGGACAGACGCTCATTTTATTGCATTGATCTCCATACCAGGAGAGTCCAAATGATTTATTTCTCCCGTATATTGCATTTCGGTAACTCTTACGGTATTAAAATGATTAACAAAAGCATAAAACTGGAAACAAAAACAGTGAGACTGTCTCCCCTGGCACCCCAAGGCCCGCCAGCAGGGGCTGTACTCGTGTGCTCACACCCACACGGACAGGCTGAGGTTCAGTCCTTGGAGCAGGACACGCTGTGTTCTCAGCAGGGAAGGAGCTGCCTTGCCCGGGAAGCAGGGAGGCACTCAAGGCACGGGCTGCTTCAAGCCTGGCTGGTGGGAATCCTCAAAACAAGGTCATGGTTCTTCACGGATGAGCACTCTCAGGGCGTGTGCTTTAGATGTCCATGTCAAACTGTTCTTCTTCGCCTGTGGAGAAGGACAGAACCCGAATGAGTCCTCGAAGCTCCAAGTTAAACACCAAGCATGGTACCGAAGCAACAGCATCCAGTTGTGCATTAAATGTGTCTGTCTGGACTTAAAATCTGCACCCAGGCATCAAGTTTGGTACCAGAACAGCCCGTGTGAGCAAAAAGCAAGCTCTGCCCTCAGAGAGGATCGTACTCAGACTGACAGACACGAGCAGAGGTAGAGGGGGTGCCCCGTGAGTAATTGCTGAGTCTGGGATTCCTGACAAAAAAGAATGCAAGGAATAGTATTGATAACCTCTGGCGCAGAATTCTGTTACCAAAGTCAGACAAATCTGCTTTTTGCATCCTCGTATCCACGGGGCTGCCATCCCAGCCCACGCAGTTCCACAGGATGCCAGCACGAACAGCAGCCACCTACTGACAATACGGCTCCTCTGCAAAGAGCTCACAACCCAGCGGGCACCCAGCACGCTTGCCAGAGAACCCAGGGGGGCACGAAAGGTCAGCAGTGTGTGCAAAAGCATTGAGCAACACCAACCCTGCCCAGATTTCCCTGGAGTAAGCAGGGAAGCCAGTTTCTGGGTACTCGGAGCTTTATTTTTAGGGACAGGGTCGTTGATCATACGTGGCATTTGCAGGTTCCTTCAAGAAGTGAGCTCAACTTTTTATTTTTAGACTGTTTGAGAGCAATCCTGGCGTTTTTCCTACTACGGTGCGTTGGATGTGTTTGTGTGCGCTGCGGGCAGTGACCCCTGTTGTGCCGTGGGCTAACTTTTACCTTCCTGTCTTATAAACAACCACAAGCTTCAGGAGGGGCCACGCAAGACAGCGGTGGGTACTGGAAAACCGACCTACATAAAGCAGCCACTGTGTTGCAAAAAAAAACTGAATTCCCAAACAAATCCTGCTCTGAACTGTAACCTGATCGCTTTCAAAAAGGGCAAAACAGCTGCAAAATGGCAGAGGATAAGCAGGGGCAGGAACAGCTGCTGCCATTCCCTCACCACAGGACTCTTGGTGCAGCAGCATTCTGCTAAATGCCAAATTAATGAGAAAACTGATAACAGGATACAAACTACACCAAAACAAAGACATTTTCACATTACTGTGGGCCACAGCAGAGCCTAACGGCCACGAGAACCCCGCAACCAGGTCCCACAGCACCTCGGGGGGATCCGTGTCAGCCCCCAGGGCCCTCCTGCTCCCTCTGTGGGGCCCAGGGGTGGGCTCTGGGCTCGCTCACTCACCAACGCTGGGTTTCTCATCGTCGTTCTGCACGTGGTTGTTCTCAACCTTCAACTCCTCCACGCTCGGGCTGGTGACGCCTGGAATGTCGGGAAGGTCAGAAGGTGGTGTTTTGGCAACCGGGGAGTTGCGGCACTCCATCAGAAACTTGCGGTCGTAAATAATCCTGGTACCTGCGGGGACGAGGCAGCGCTGTCAGGAGAGGCTCAGGGGGGCTGCAAATACCCCGGGTCACCCACCCGGAGCCCCCTCAGAGGGGTTTGGGCCACGTCCTGCTCCTGGGGGCGCTGCAGCAGGCTCGGGGGGAGCCGGGGCTGTGCGGGGATTTCTAGGAACTGGGCTGAACGGCGTGTTCCCTGCGAGGGAGCTGCTGGACGAGGCCCCAACCCACAGGCACAACGGGTTCCCTCCCACCAGCCCGCAGCGTTAACCCAGGAAGCGCTGAAATCCTCGGCTCCTTCCCCAAAAGCAGCGCTGCAAACCGCTGGGGCTGCCCCCTGCCGCTCTGCCTCCCCTCAGCCAGAGGAAAAAAAACTTTTGGGGCATTCCCTGAGATTTTTGGGTGCTTTCTGTGGGGCGAGGCTCGGTACCCCCCCCCCTCCATGGACTCCCGTCTCGGCTCCCTTCGTTCCCTGCCCCCAGAGGTGCCCGCAGCTCTGGGCAGCCCCCCAAAAAGGGGACACCCAGCCCCAGGCACCCCCCCGATACCCCCCACCCCAGGTGGAAGCCCCCCAAGGACCCCACCACATCCCAGCCCCTCTCCAAAGGGGGATGCAGCCCCAGCCCGCCTGGAGCCGGAGCCCCCTCCCCAAAAAAACTCCCCCAAAGATCCCTCTGGGGAGCCACGCACCCAAAAAACGCCCCCCTGGGGACCCCCCTCCAAGGAGAGGAACCCCCCTAAAGAGAGAAAGACCCTCCAGAAAGGGGGAATCCCCCCCAAAAAAAGAGGGAACTCCCTCCAAAATGGGGGAGAACCCCCCAAAAAGAGGAAAAAGCTCTCCAAAACGGGGAGACCTCCCCCAAAAAGAGGGGGAGACCCCCCAAAAAGAGGGAAACCCCCCAAAAAAGAGGGAAAGCCCGAAAAAAAATAGGGAACCCCCCCAAAAAAATAGGGAACCCCCCAAAAAAAGAGGGAAAGCCCCCCAAAAAAGAGCGCCCCCCCCCAAAAGGGGGTAACCCCCCCCCAGCCGAGCCCCTCCCCCCCCTCAACGAGCTCCCGGTCCAGTTCCCCCCCCCCCGCGGCCGCTCACCGCCCGGCGTGGTCCCGAAGACGGTGCCCCCCGGCGTGGTGCTGTAGTCCCCGGGGGGCAGCGGGGCGCCGTCGGGCAGGGCGAGGCGCTTGCCGGGCCCGGGGATGTCCCGGCTCGGGGTCTGCCCCTGGCAGCAGCGCCCCGACATGGCGGTCCCCCTGCCGCCCCGCCGCCCTGCCCGCCGCTTCCGGCTCGAGCCACGCCCCTTCCGGTGAGGGCGGCACGGGGAGAAGGGGGCGGGGCTTATAGGGGGAGGGGCCTGAGGGGGGCGGGGTGAGAGGGGGCGTGGCTTAACGGTGGGGGCGGGGCCAAGCGCGGCACCCGGCGCTGGGTCCCTGTGCCCGCCGCTGCCGGTGCCCGGCCACGGGGCTCTGCGGGGGCTCCCAGTGCTCCCAGTGCTCCCAGTGCTCCCAGTGTGCCCAGTGCTCCCAGTGCTCCCCCAGTGCTCCCAGTGCTCCCAGTGTGCCCAGTGCCCCCAGTTCCCCTGGTGTTCCCTCAGTGCTCCCGGTGCCCCAGTGCTCCCACTACTCCCAGTGCTCCCCCAGTGCTCCCAGTGCTCCCAGTGACCACCAGTGTACCCAGTGCCTCCAGTGCTCCCACTACGCCCAGTGCTCCCAGTTCTTCCAGTTCTTCCAGTGCCCTGCCCCAAGCGCTCCCAGTGCTCCCAGCGCTCCCCATGCTCCCAGTGCTCCCCCAGTGCCCCCAGTGTCCCGGCGGTGCCACCGGCTGGCGCTGTCCCTCCACCCAAGGGAATCGGGGTCCCGGCGGCGGGGCCGGGCCGTGACCGTCAGCGGCCCGCAGGGGTCAGCCTGGCCCAGCCCCGGCGGCGCCCCGGGCCCCACAGGCGGAGCTCGGCTCCCGCTGGCCCGGGGCTGCGGCTGGAAACGGCACCGGGAGAGGAGCTGCGAGCGCTGCCCTGCGGCACACAGCGCTTGGCTAGGCTGGGCTGCCAGCGGGGGCTCCCCTTCCCTATCCCATCCCATCCCATCCCATCCCATCCCATCCCCATCCCATCCCATCCCATCCCATCCCATCCCATCCCATCCCATCCCATCCCATCCCATCCCATCCCATCCCATCCCATCCCCATCCCATCCCATCCCATCCCATCCCATCCCATCCCATCCCCATCCCATCCCATCCCATCCCATCCCATCCCATCCCATCCCCATCCCATCCCTCCCATCCCATCCCATCCCCATCCCATCCCATCCCCATCCCATCCCCATCCCATCCATCCCCATCCCATCCCATCCCCATCCCATCCCATCCCATCCCATCCCCATCCCCATCCCATCCCATCCCCATCCCTCCATCCCCATCCCCATCCCCATCCCATCCCCATCCCATCCCCATCCCCATCCCATCCCCATCCCATCCCCATCCCATCCCTCATCCCCATCCCCATCCATCCATCCCCATCCCCATCCCATCCCCATCCCATCCCATCCCATCCCATCCCCATCCCCATCCCATCCCATCCCATCCCATCCCATCCCCATCCCCATCCCCATCCCATCCCATCCCCATCCCCATCCCATCCCCATCCCATCCCATCCCATCCCATCCATCCCCATCCCCATCCCATCCCATCCATCCCATCCCATCCCCATCCCATCCCATCCCCATCCCCATCCCATCCCATCCCATCCCCATCCCATCCCCATCCCCATCCCCATCCCATCCCCATCCCATCCCCATCCCCATCCCATCCCATCCCATCCCCATCCCATCCCATCCCATCCCATCCCATCCCATCCCCATCCCCATCCCATCCCATCCCATCCCATCCCATCCCATCCCATCCCATCCCATCCCATCCCATCCCATCCCATCCCCATCCCATCCCATCCCCATCCCATCCCCATCCCATCCCATCCCCATCCCATCCCATCCCCATCCATCCCCATCCCATCCCATCCCATCCCATCCCCATCCCATCCCATCCCCATCCCATCCCCATCCCATCCCATCCCATCCCATCCCATCCCATCCCCATCCCATCCCCATCCCCATCCCCATCCCCATCCCATCCCCATCCCATCCATCCCCATCCCATCCCCATCCCATCCCATCCCATCCCATCCCCATCCATCCCATCCCATCCCATCCCATCCCATCCCATCCCATCCCATCCCATCCCATCCCATCCCATCCCATCCCATCCCATCCCATCCCAATCCCATCCCATCCCATCCCATCCCATCCCATCCCATCCCATCCCATCCCATCCCATCCCCATCCCATCCCATCCCATCCCCATCCCAACCCATCCCATCCCCATCCCATCCCATCCCATCCCCATCCCATCCCATCCCATCCCATCCCAACCCATCCCATCCCCATCCCATCCCATCCCATCCCATCCCATCCCATCCCATCCCATCCCATCCCCATCCCATCCCATCCCATCCCATCCCAACCCATCCCATCCCATCCCATCCCATCCCATCCCATCCCATCCCATCCCCATCCCCATCCCCGTGTGGCTCCTGAACGGATTCCCAGGCACTGTGCAGGCTGCCCCGCTGCTGGGCACCCAAAGCCACAGATCGGGGACCAAGAGGGGGCGCAGGGACCCCATGTGGGTCCCGGGGGTGCTCCTGCTGGGGCTTTTTGCCCACCCCCCGCAGGTTTCTGGCCCCGCTGTTTCAGGCTCGCGTTGGCAGCGCCCGCTGGTGCCAACGTGTTCATCTCCGGGGCGCTTTATCTGCTCTTTCCCCGGCCCTAAAAGCCCTTCACCGTCCTCATGTGACACCTTATCACCGCGCCGCCTTCTAAATCGGGAGCGATTTAGCCCCCAGCAGCCCCCGTTCGTCCCCGAGCCGCTGGCACAAATCCCGACCGGGGGGGGGGGGTGGGATCCTGCCCGACCCTGGGCACTTCCAGCGGCTGCTGCTGAAAGGAGCAGGAGGAAAAGAAACCCGGGGGGGAGAAAAACCTCCCCTGGGGGTGTGAACACGCAGCGAGGCTCTGGAGCCCTCCCCGGCCCCGCAGAGCATCTCTGGGGCTGGATCAGCCCCCTCGCTGCTGCCACTGCCAACGGGGCGGGGGGGGCACAGGTGGTCCTCGGGGGGTCTCCAAACCCCACCGGGGTCCCAAACTCCTCTGGGATCCCAAACCCATCCAGGATCCCAAACCCCTTTGGGATTCCAAACCACTCCAGGGTCCCAAACCCCTTTGGGGTCCCAAACCCACCCAGGATCCCAAACCCTCTGGGATCCCAAACCCACCCAGGATCCCAAACCCCAATGGGACCCCAACCCCCTCCAGGATCCCAAGCCCTCCCGGTGCCCGCCGCGACCCCCGGCAGTGGGGCGGCAGGGATGTCCCCGTGCCATTTCCCTGCCCGTGTTTACATTCCCCTCCGATGCCGCTGCAGATAGGCAGCAGCCCACACCCCCCCTGCCCTCCCCGGAGCTGTTCCTGCAGATAAAGCTGCCCCCGATAAACAACCCCATCCTGCAGGGAAGCGCCGCCGCCCTGCCGGGGGGGGGGGGACCCCTGGGCTGTGTCCGTGCCCTGTGCGGGTGCAGGAGCTGGCAGAGGATGCTCAGCGCCCCCACAGCCCCCCCCCGGGCCCTGCTGCTCGCTTCTGCTGCTGCCGAGGGGGTTTGGCAGAGGCAGGGATGTCCCTGCAGGCTGGGGGGGGGGGCGCACGGGCAAATCCCTGCCACTGGTGTTGTGCTCGAGCCTTGTCCTGCGTGGGGAGAGCCCCTGCGAACCCCTCCGGGCACCTCGGGGTTCTCCTCGTTTCCCCCCAAAATAAAACACCCAGCTCCTGCTGCTGCCCTTGCTCGTGGTTCGGGAGGGGGCTCGGTCCCCCCCTTGGTGCAGCCGAGGCAGGCAGGCTGAGCTCTCTTACAAAACCTTTCCTTCGCTGCCCCATAGAAGTGCCCGGTGTGGGGCGAGCCCCCCAGCCCGCTCCCACATTTAGGATTTCGCCCCCAGCACCCCGCCTGGGGCCGTATGGACTCGGGGAGCCCTGGTCTGGGGGAGCTGCGGCTGAGCTTCCAGCACGACTCCTGTCTTCCCCTGAAAGCCAAAGTTTGGGAACTGGCTGGGTTCCTGCCTCCTCCTCCTCCTCTTCCTCGCTGCCCTGCACCTCCTTGCTCCCCGAAAAACAGCCGCGGAGAGCTCATTGCATAAGCGCAAGAAGCGGGCTCTGGGAATGATGCGAAATATGCTCCGAGGGGAGCCCCAGGCCAAGAGAAACAGCGGGGCTTAACTGGGGGCAGGCACTGGTACGAATGGGGCCGTGCCCAGCGGCTGCAGCATCCCCGAGCCCCCCGCCCGCACCCCCCGGACCCTCATGGGGCATCCTTTGGGGGCAGCCGCCCCTCTCCGGCAGCCGGGGGCGCAGCGCTCGGGGCCGGACCTTTTCCCCATTTGCCTCCCTGCTGCAGTTTCTGAGAAAGAAGCGGGGAGCGGGAGGCGTGCACGGCTTAAAAATAGCCCTGGTGACATGGGAGCCGCGGGCCTGACGTGGCTGCTGTCGTTGTCCCCGCCGCTGTTGTTGTTGTTTTCTTGTTTTTCCCCTTTCCACGAGCACAGCCCCGGCCTCGTGGGGCTGCGGGCTCCGGGGATGTCCCGGCTGGGAGATGGGGCTGGATGGAGACGGGGCTGGGGACGCCTGCGTGGCAGGAGACCCCTGAGGGTCTGGGGAACCCTCGACGGCAGGAGGCGAGCAGGCAGGTGGCGGCTTGGCCAGCATCTTGCAGCAGGGATGCTCTCAGCCCAGCACCAGGATCTGTCCCAGCCCTGCTCCCAGCCCCGGGGACGCTGCCCCGCATTGCCCAGAGCTGCCCTTCCTCCCCCCCCACCACCAGGATGCTCCTCTTCCCCCCCAAAAAAAACCCTGTCTGGGGAGCCCAACTGCTTTCAGATGTTATTTTCGTTGCTGACATTTATTTTTATTTTTTTTTTCAGAGGTTTCCACATTTTTTTTTGTGAAATTTGTGTCACTGTTGTTGCAAACTTGTCCCTCCTTCCCCCCGCCTCTGTTTTTCTTTAGCAATAGCTGCTGGAAAACCAGTTAGCGGAGGGAGGGAGGGAGGAGCACCCGTGAACATGGCCCTAAAACCTCTGCAGATGAGGCGAAGGCAGGCGAATCCCCTCGGTCCCAGGAGGTGGAAATGTCCTGGAGGATTTTCTGTCTGCTCCCCTGTTCCGTTCCTGGCCCCAGAGCAGCTCAGGGCTCTGCGCCC